TAATTCTGTGCATTCCTGGTTCTCATGTGTGCAAATTCTAAAGCCTATTTGAAACCAAGGTTTCAGTGACCTTCTGACCAACTCAGAAGAGTTGCCCAACGGGTATGTGGCCCTTCTATCTCAGCTTTTCTTTTGATGTTATCTGTATACTTGGCTAATTAGGCTGGCTTTTGGATTACTAAACTCTTAGAAAGAAAAGATGCTTTCTTGTAACAGTGAGTGGGCTTGAAAAACCATACGGCGTTATGACATGGTTTTGGCAAAGCTCAGAATTATTTGTGCAGTTAATCAACTCTCCGCAGCTCCCCTCTTTGTCTCCTGACTCCTGGGAACAGTCACTTTCTGATCACAACCTCGTGTGCCTGTGAGCTCTTCACAGTGAAAAGTCAAGCACTCGTTCTGATAGGGAAATTACAGTTATGTAGTTAGTGCTTAGGACAAAATTATTTTAAACGCTGCTGATCACCTAAGCATTCTCTCTTTGGACCTGTAGACTGATTTTAGACATCGCCACCAAATGGCACTTGCTAGTTAGGTGCAAGCATCTGTGGTTCTGGCAGGGCAAGTGGAAAACTTGTCACTGTGGCATAGAATTTATCATTTTAAACTCTTAAAAAGATTTTATAAGAGTATTTCTCCCATGGCCTATAAACATATCTGTTAACATTTTAGGTTTGCAACATATGAAATGATTCTTAAAGTGTCTTTTCCCATAATATTTTGAAAACACACTGGTAATGATAAAAGGAGTAGTTGTTGCTGTCTTGAGTCTCTTGGAATAACCATTCCATAGATCTGCATTTCTACCCTTGCTGCAGAGGGTGAGTCAAAAAGACATGCAGCAAAACACTTGCTTACAAGAGGCATAGCCCTTTGTTTGGTGAGCAGGAATTGCGTGTAATATTAACACTTCCTGTCTGGTAAAATAGTCTATTTTAAAAAATAAGCTACAATGTATAAAACCAAAGTCATTTCCCACAAAATGTTCATGTTCTTTGTGATTACAAAACACTGTATCTTTTAAAATATTTCCAGTTCTGAGGAGTTGAATACTCATGCTTCTTATAAAAGTGTTACGTCTCTTAGAATTGTAGAAGCCTAAGCAGTATATTTCTTGTGTTACTTGGAAAATTGAGTTTTAATTAGTATTGTTTTTAAGATTGTATTTGCCACAACATATTACCATTGTGATTCCCAGACCAACAAAAGTTATAAAACATGAGATTGTCTTCAAAAAAAGGAACTATTTACAGCACAGGACCAGAAGTAAAATGGCCATTTTGGTTCCTGGTCCTATGAGCGATACACCTTTTAAAGCATATATATCATTGGACATGGGCTTTTCCAAAGTCAGTCACGATAAGCAAACCAGTTGGTCTTAAATACATTTTTATACTTTCTTGTTCTATTGGTGTGCATTACTCAGTGATACAATTGATACCTAAAAGTGCTAGTCTCACTTTATTTATTGACTCCAGATCTGGCTAATTACAATGCAAAAAAGACACAATGAAACAGTTCCAAGATGGAGGAGACCTCCACAGGTATGAGGGACGGGGACAGTCTGTGTGCTGCCAGTAGGGTTACTTGCTTGGAAAAATGAAATTTCTAGTTGACCTGTGTGCCCACTGCCTTCTCCAGAATGATTCACATCCTCATTCATATTCATGAATCCTGCTCTGTTTCCACTCATTTGTATGCACAAATCCTTTCCCGAGTTCACGCAGGTCAATGCTACAGATGATGTGGTCGATAGAAATTCTACAGGGTCATGAGAAAAAGCAGCACCTTGTCCACAAAAGTCCATGGAATTTTGTTCGTTAACATGCTATTAAAGCAAAATGTACATTTTGAACGGCTTCCTTTCACCTACAGAATTCTTCTTATAGCTAATAAACAGTCACCCAACTGGGTAATTATAAAAAGGACTGGCAAGGCTTTGTATTCACAATTACATTCAGAAAAAGCCTCACAGGAGTCTATGAGTACCCTCAGGCACTGTGCTGGGGGTTCAGATGTCAACCATGGACTACAGGTCAGCTACCAAAAAAACAGCCCCTTTGCAGAGGGTATCCCTCACACCCCACAAATGTCGGTACTATCCAGTTCCCGTAATTTGTCTTGAAAGGTTATTACATCCATTTGGAAAAATGGTATTGACTAGAAAAGACTTTAGGGATAATAAAACTCTTCCTAGTCTCAGGATTCTCCAGACCTATTTTTCGCATGCCCTTTATTTTCCCTGAGGAAATGAATATTATTTACAGTATTTTGCTACTCAAGGTATTCTCTCCTAGGTGTCCAGTTCTTGCCACTGTTTTCTGAACCTTCTTGAGTGAATGCTGTACTTTCGTTTTCCAATGAGGAAGGGGTGGGGGGGGCATGGATTTCACAGGGCCAGCCCATTCAGAACCCAGGGCTGCTTTCCAAAGTGTGCCTCAGTGTGACATCAGACTGAAAGCCTGCATCTTGAAACGTAATGGGGGACAGTGCAGTTTCAGAAGTCTTTTGCAACACACGTGACTATCTCTTTGAAACGTGTTGGCTGGGTTCAAGAACCGCAACACGCATCGTTCTCTGTTGATAATTTTCATCTGCAACACAGTCATGGCCAGGCGAGGAACTGTCTAACGAAGGGTACCTTGCTGGTGCTCAAAGCTGCAGGTGGGCACTCTGCAGCTGAGCCTACACATTCCTGGTCAGGAACCTATTACTTTCCTCACACTGGCTTCTGCCCCGAGGGAGGGCACCTTCAGTTGCCAAACGAGGAAAGAAGTCCCCACGTGCTAGAGATGGCGACTCGAGATGTGCGTGGGGCCCTGACTCTAGCCCAGAGTCCCTTCCCCTAAGGTGGCACTCTCCTGGCTTCAGGCAGCCACTTCCAGAGGGAGAACCCGGCCATTCTCGGGGAGGTGTTCTGGGACACCAACCACTGGCTGCCCAGCACCCCAAAGACGAGCGAGAGCCATGTCCACAGGCCTCTTGTATCTCTTCCCTGATCCACTTCCCACCCGGGTGCTTTCTCCGAGTTGTCCCACTACCTCCTACCAACTGAGCACACGGCTTCTGGGGGGGATGAGGGCTTAACATCCCCGCCTGATGAACATTCTGCTTTGGAGCTCTCTGGAGAGTGCCTTGCCAGTCGCTATGAAATGCCTTCTTTCGAGAGAGATGAGAGGCCTTTTCTGAAGGAAGGGGCGTTGGGGGGAAAAAAAACCAAAAGGCTATAACTATAACATGCCTTATTTAGACATGTTTTGGGATCAGAATTCACTGTACCGCCACTCATTTTGCACAGACAGGCCTCTGAGCTCCCGGTGGAAGACGGGGTTCCAGTCATGCAGCAAGCTTGCTGTTGGCCTCTCTCCTCCCACCCTTCCCCTTCCTCCCTGCCAAATGAACACAGAAAATAGCAAAAAATGGAAGTCTGGCTTAACTTGGCACTTCATGTAGTTCCAACATATAACAAAATAACTCTACATTTTACAAAAATTAACTTTTACAATCAGTGGCTGTATATTGAAATTCATAGCTTTCTGGGTGGCTTGTAAAAACGTAATCCCTTTTTTTCCAAGGCCAGTCAGGTGTCGCCTGGTGGTCTCCTTGTTATTACATGCCTCAGTACAGGGAAGTTGTGTCTGTGTGTCCAGGAAGGTACTGAGGGTCTGTCTGTACCTGAAGCCAGAGAAGTACATAGAACCCTGGGCTAGTTGGCAGAAAAGAGGCCCGACCTGGCAGGAGATAAAGAACAGTTTGTGTGAAGAAGCCTTCAGGAAGAAGTAGTCCCGGGAAAGTTGTATCCAGCGTTACAGTTCTGATTACATCCGGGGACTGGCTAAAACCCAGGTAAGGAGTGAGGTTGGCTCAGCTGAGGCAGAACTCAGAACTGCTCATGGGCCATGCCTCAGTGGGGAGAGCCCCGAGGCTTTGCTCCAGCACTGCTCCACAGCAAGGCTCTCTCCTTCCTTGTGTTTCTAAGTTCTGGTAGGGGAGACGGATTCCAATCCCTCCTCACTGGACTATTTTTTGATTAGTAACAATTCAAGGATCCAGGGCCAGGGATCTCTGCTGAAGAGCAAAACCTTGAGTCTAGGATTGTACCCTGCTATTTAAGTACACCATAAACTTGCTCAAACATCTGACTAGCCCTGGCCTCCCATAGCCACTAGCCATTGCTCGGGGCCGCCTGGATCAGGCCGGAGCATCATCTCACAGCAGAGGCTGTAGGTGAAGGGACAGGATACCAGAAGAGAGGACATGTGCTGGAGGAAGCAGACACATCACTGCATTTTAAAAAATGCCCTTTCCTGGCTGATCTTGCAAGTACTAAAGCATACAGCATAGCTGGTGCTGTGGCTAGTATGGGTTGGTAATCAAGATACAGAATTAGATGAAGCTCTTTTTCTGTTCTCTTGAAATAAGTGTTTTTAAAGAAAAAAAAAAAAAGAAGGAAAAAACCCAGGATCTCTTCCAAGGAATAATTCTTAAAAAGTTATATGAGAGTTTAAAAAATAAAACAGCCATAATATATGAATGCACACATTGTAGCTGCTGCACTGTAGAACTTCCTTATACTTTCCTTTGCTTATATTTATATATATATAAAGGATATCTGATATTACTAGATGACTTCTTTCTACTCTTTAAAAAAAGTGTACGTACAATCTCTAAACATATATTAAACTTTCCTCTGTGCAATTTCATTTAACATTCCTATGGCTGATCCCAAGTCCTTGGTCCCTACACAGTGCCTCCCATAAGGTGCTCTTACTTCTTTGCATACGTAAAAAGAACTCTTTAGCAGGGCAATTGAGAGCAGGGTGGATGGAGAATGAGCTTACTCACAGGGGCTTGACAGTTACACCCCTTTTTCCACACTACTACCACCAAAACACACACACAGGCAAGCAAATACACCAGTTTAGAAAGCCCAATCACGGCACATAGTGCCAGCCCTGGCCCTACTAAATGGAGAGGTTCCTATACCAACATGCATTTTCTTTTTGGTGTTCTGCATGTTCCCTTTTGAGTGAATGCTTAATTAATAGCTCCAATCTTTTCCTAAGAAAAATAAAGGTTTGGGCCTTCCATTTACCCATGTAATGTTTATATTGTTCATCAGCTAATCTCCCAGACATGCTAAAGCATCAAACCTAGAAAAGTGCACTCAGGATGGAAGGGGTCTGTCGACCTAACTTGACGTTCTGAACGGTGGTGACATGCCGGCTATGCTCTGTTGTTGAAAGCAAACTTGCTGGGAGAGTCTGGAGATCTCTACCTTTCCTGAAATCAGTCAGTGGTGGAGTTTGGAGGGAAGGACCCATAACCCACCGACCTGGCTACAACCTTGACAGACAAGCAATAACAAATAGAGCCGAGCTGCTGTTTGTGTCACATCCCTGAAAGAAGCATCGAGGCTTACCCAGATGGCTACAGGTAGGTGCCAGTTCTTGATTGAGTCGTGGCAGGTGGAGAATGAGCTGTGCTACCCTTGGGGAAGAGCTTCTTACTGATTCAAGGAAGACTCCTAGGTGTTTCCCAACAGTGACAGCTGGATTTCCTGAACTCAGCTTGGGGCTGAAGTCTGCTGGTGATTTCCATGGCCAATTGCGTTGTGAGTTTATGCCATCTGGGGTCCTTCAAGCTCACAGCTCTACCACGGTTCAGTGTGGGGCCATTCTTAAAAACAAAAACAAAAACAAAAAGACATAGAAAAGATCCCCCAAGTGCTGCACTTCCTTGCAGCACATCACGGTGTGGAGTGCTCCAAGAAGTCAAATGGAAAACAGGGAAAAGACTATTCACAACAAAAGTAGGTATCATTCTTTGTACAAAAGCTACTGAATAATGTGTAGCTTATGTGTTTTTTTTAAGTGTCAAAAAATTTTGGAAACGGCATAATTCAGAAAGCTTATCAAAATATTCCTCCTTTCTAGGTAAAACGGGCTTTGTTGGTTCAATTGTTACAGAACCACAGTTTTAAGACTAGACATACAGCAAAAAATGTTGACTTTTCTACTGAAGGAAAAACTAGTCAGAGCTGCTCTAGTCTGGGTTCTTAATAAGAGCAGTAAGGGTGGTGGTTTTCTTTTCTTTTTTTTTTGCTGTTATTCCACCAAGTCTCCTGGAAGTGCTTTTCCTGGGCTTCAAGTGTGTTTTATTCAGAAGGAAAAGCTCTTTCCAACACCTTCAGCGGAAGGCCAGGGCAGGAGTGGTGCAGGGCCCCGGGCCCCTGTGCCTAGGGCCTCTCAGTCGATGAACCTCTGGCAGGCTTTCTTCCAGCGGCAGGCGGTGCACCACATGTCTCGGTTCTCCATCCCATACACCTTCCGGCACTTCTTGCCCTCTCCCCTGGGCTTCCTGTCAGACAAGGAAGATTAGTTTAGTGGGGGTGGGAGCGGGGGAGGATTCAATGGGCATTCTGTGGAGAGCTCTAAATCCCTTAAAAGAGTGAGGAAAAAGTTAGGAAAGACAGTGGGCTTCTCTCTAGGTTCAGACTTTAGTATGTGCTGTTTGTTTTCACAAGCACTAAGTATACTTAACTGTTAAAATTTACTCCTAGAACACTTAAGCATCTATTCATTTGTGGATATATCCAAATAGTCATCTTCCTACAATTGCATTCAATAAGTAAATACAAGAAATGCTAACAGAGACCAATGTCACTTTCAAGTTTTTAAATATGTACTGTCAAGTGCTCTGTCAATTTTCAAATGTATACTACAGTAGTCTCCACTATCTGTGGGGCACGTGTTCCAAGACCCCAGTGCATGCCTGAAAATTGCAGACAGTATAATACTGTGCATGGATTTCTTTTTCCACTTCCACAGTGTCATGAATAGAAGACTCATTCTTACTGTAGATTTTAGCAACCTCAGGAAGTGTTTTTTCTGTCCTTAGTAAGTCAGAAACTTTCACCTTTAAAAAAAATATTTTAAAGATGTAGTGTACAATTCAGGATTAGGTATACAAGTGGTCATCATACAACTTTTATCTTTTCACCTAAAGGAAGCACTTCATGGCTTCTCTTTGACATTGCTGAATTCCAGCATCACTACTCTGACACTCTGGGGCCATTATTAAATAGAAGGGTGACTTGAACACAAGAACAGTCTGCGACAGTCAATCTGATAATCCAGATGGCTACTAAGTGGCTAACAGGCGGATAGTGTAGACAGCTTGGATACGCTGGACAGAGATGATTTGTGTCCCAGGCGGGATGGAGCTGGATGGCACAAAATGTCATCACACTACTTAGAATGGCACGCAATTTAAAACTTACAAATTGTTTACTCTGGAATTTTTCATGTAATATTTTTGAGCCACAGTTGACTTCAGGCAACTGAAACTGCAGAAAGCAAAACTGTGGATAAAAGGGGACTACTGTATTCTGGTTAGGAAGCGCCTGGGGAGAAGAGCCTCCTTGATTTGCCTTAAAAACTATAACTTAATAATTCATTTAATATGGAGGCTAATGCAACATGGTTTTACATAGACTCCATAATCATCAAGACCTTTTCGGAAAAAAAAACTCTACACCATTACTCACTCCCCTCCCCACCAAAAAACCCTAGCAAATCTTTGCTAAAAGTTAATGGATAGGAAAAACCATGAAAAGAAGAGAAAAGATGTTTTGTTGATTGAGGAGAAATTTTATAGAAGACCCTGTCTGGTTTCTCTTCACTGTTCTATCTTACAGTGAATGCCTTTGAGATGAGGTTTGTGCTGTTTCAAGCAGTCATACCTTAGGCTGACCGTCCCTCTGGGTGGAGAGGACAGGACCGTATGGGCGTGCTGTCTCTGCTCCCCTGTGCCCACTGGATGATGATGTGTTGGTGACACCTGGTAAATACATGGAAAACAAAGTTGATGGGGCAGGTTCTGAACTGTTGTTAGCCTTTGCTACAGAGGCAACAGTCTCTGCACGTTCCACGCAGAGATGAAGTGCTTTCTTCACTGAGACCACAGGTTAAAACAGATGGGGGATGCTCATGGCAGGATTTAAATGCATTCTCAAACAGAAAAGACCTATCAGCAGCCAATATTTCAGAAATCTTTGTTACTTCATAACTATGTCTTCCAAGTTGCCCCTAATATCACATTTTCACTTGAATACTATTTCATGCCTTCAAGTACATTCCTGTCTATTTCATTTAGCCCTCATGAACTCTGTCATGTAGAGCAAGCCTCGTGATTCCCTCTTTAGAAGATGAACAATACCTAGCGATGTTAAGAGATTTATCTAAGATTATACAGCTAGTCAGTGACAATGACATAACGCATAATGCTCTATTAGATCAATCACAGTCACTAAATAAATGGATCCTGGTATAAGACACTCCTGCAGCAGACACGTTCCAAGACCCCCAATGGATGTCTGAAACTGCAGATAGTACTCAGCTCTGTATATACTAGGCATGGATTTCTTTTTCCTTCTTCATAATTTCACAGATAGAGGATTCATTCTATTCGTGGGGCCCAAACAGGAATAAGGACGAAGAATAAAGCCTGAGCACCTCAAGACCAAATGCCATTCATGGAATACCCACTGTGCACTCCCTACCTGCCAGGTATGCTGAACACAGCTTCAATTGTCACAACTACCCCATGTAGTAAGTACTATTCTCGTTCCCATTTTATAGATAAGAAAACCATGGCAGAGGGAGGATAATAACTTGCCCAAGGTCATGGCACGGGAAACCACACAGCCAGGGCTGTGCTGTGGCTCTGCCCGCTCCAGGGCATGTGTTCCAGCCCTCACACCTCTGCCCCTCCATCATAAGTGAGAGGTAGGCAGGCCCCTGAGGTCTCCATCCTTCCGGGGGTGGGAGAGCACCACTTTGTCCCTTTGCTCTCTTCACACTAAATATGTTCCCAGCTCCTGAAATTCTCAAAAGCAGCACAAACATTAATTTTCAGAACGAAAGAAAAATGTTTCAAGTAATTAAATGGTATTGTCACACACAGAAAAAGCAGATGTTTCATAAATACAAAAATTAAATTCAATAAAAATTAAAAAACATTTAGAAGCCAATGTGGCCATAGAAATACGACTGCCAGTGAATAATCACAAAGCATTCCTGAGACTTACAGAACTGATTTTCTCCAGTATGGGAACTGGTACTTTCTCTTTTCTTTTAAGGTAAAGGAATATGTATCAGTGTTATTTTCCCAGACATTCATTTGAATGCTATGGCTTGAATTTCCCCTCCAAAGTTCATGTTGCAAACTAATTGTCATTGTAACAGTTCTAAGTGGTGGGACTTTTAAGGGTGATTAGACCAAGCCAGCTAAGCCTCTGACACTTTAGGTCTGGAGACCCACCCCACCAGCCTGAAGCCTCCTAGAACTGCGCTTGGGGAGCAGGCTGACAGCTCCTCTTGCTTGTTTGGGGCTCTTTTAGGCAGAATGTTTGTATCCCTCAAAATTCATATGTTGAAGATATAACCCCCAGTGTGGCTGTATTTGGAGATAGGGCCTTTAAGGAAATAATTAAGGTTAAATAAGGTTACAAAGGTGGGGCCCTGTTCCAATAGGATTAGTGTCCTTATAAGAACAGATACCAGAGGGCTGGTGCATCCACTCATGCTGGCTGGCTCTCTTACCCTCTTGCTTGCGTTTTCTCTGTCTCTCTCTCTCTCTCTGTCTTTCTCTCCTCCCTCTCTCTCTCCCCATCCCTTCTCCCTCCACACACAAAAGACAGATGTCAGGGAAGACATAGGCATCTATAAGCCAGGAAGAGAGTCTTCCTCAGAAACTGAATTGGCTAATACCTTGATCTTGGATTTCTAGCCTCCAGAACTGTGAGAAAATAAATTTCTGTTGTTTAAGTCACAAAGTCTGTAGTATTTTATTATAGCAGTCTGAGCTGATTAATAAAGGGGCTAAAAGCTCTTAGTTTTCTGTCATGAAAAGACAGAGAAAGAAATGGAAATAATTAGAAGAAAAAGCAGGTCATTAGGGAAAAACATGTCAAAGAAAGTTGTAATTAATGAAGGTCTCCTTCCTACCCGTCTCCTCACAGCCTTAGGCTAAAAAAGACTGAACTTCCAGTTACATTTGTAAATATGCAGCTCAGCCTTCTGGCTACACACCTCCGGAAAGAGGTCTTACCCAGGGAACTTATTAAAGCTCGATGTTCAGAAAATCTAGCATAGGCAAATGCATAAATAAAATCTTGCAACCCTTGAGATTTCTCAGAAAGGGACTCTGCCCCCCACTCTCTAGGAAGTGTATAAGAGCATCTTCTCTTCAATGCCAGGTCTCAAAGATGTGGGAGAAAAGTAAAACCCTAAGTGAGGTTGACAACTTTGGGATATTTGTTTTGGAGTACAAAGAAAAAGGGTTTTTGTTTGTTTTTGCAAAGCATTTTATAACACAAAAACTGTCTATTCAGTTTGGACACAGTTATAACCATCATGGATACTAATTCATTATAATTTAAAACTTTCAAACTTATTATGTCAATTTAGAAGGTAGGAATTAACAGGTTCTTAGATTCCACCTGGTCCCCTATCTTCTAGGTGTTGGAGTAGCATGTCTGGAGAATCAAGGGACAGTTGCTGGCACCCAGTCAGTGGGTGTGTGACAGTCTTTCACGTAAGTGGTATGGGCCATCAAGAGAGCCAGCCCATCAGAAGGAGGAGGAGAGCAAGCCTCCACTTATTTTTTTTTAAGCATGGATAGAGAGTTCAGCAGTATAAACAGCATTCTTATAGCCATCTTGTCTTTCTAGAGTGAAACAAAAGCTTTTGAAAAATACTACCCTCATCCTTACCTTTAAATAGGAATGGCAGACCTGACTGCTAAAAACCATCTAAGGTCTTTGCTAAAACAAGTCACACAACCAGAAAGATTGGGAACTCTCTGGTGAAAGAACAGATTAGAGGTTGGCATAGGATTTTTGTGGAATACCTAGTTTATACACTACTCTATGTACTTTCTGGCAAAGCTCTTGTCTAGAATGTCCCTAGTAACCAACAGAGTGAAACGAGGCAGTCTGCAAAAAATCAAGGGTACTGAGATGAGGATTGAAATATACACAGTGTCCATTGCAGAGTTTTAAAATTTCATTGTTGAAAAACAATATAAGGTATCCTTGGCTGGTATGCTACTGTGCAAGACGTGTAGGAACTGTGGCAGGTATACAGCTAGTGAAAAGTCACTTGGGGCTGGGCACAGTGGCTCAAGTCTGTAATCCTAGCACTTTGGGAGGCCAAGGCGAGAGGACTGCCTGAGTTCAGGGGTTCGAGACCAGCCTGGGCGACTTGGGGAAGACCTTGTCTTTCCAATAAATCAAAAAATTAGCCGGGTGTGGTAGCTACTTGGAAGGCCGAAGTGGAAGGATTGCCTGAGCCCAGCAGGTCGAGGCTGTGGTGGCTGTGAGCATGCCATTGCCCTCCAGCCTGGGCGACAGAGTGAGACTCCAACTCAAAAAAACAAAATAAAATGAAAAAGCCACTTGGAATCATTTCTATCTACTTAGGAAGATGATTTGAAAAGCAAAGGAAAAAAAAAATCCAGTTTGGTTGGTCACAGAGATTGTCTGAGAAGGTGTTTGACCTGGGTTGCTCCATTTACACACTATACTTGTCTTTACACCAGAAGAGCAAGATGGTATATGCTCTTGAGAATTCTTACTGAGTCAAAGATGGGAATTAACAGGATGCAGAATAGCAGTCTCAATAATTCTGTAGTTGTAGCTGCTGTAGTTTACACAGGACTCTCAAAAGTGATATCAAGAGCCACTCTGGGTCTTTTTATGTAGCAAAGAAGAAAGTCCCCAAAAGGACAGTGTTAACTTCTGACACCCACATGAGTGGATCAATGTTCTTGCCAGAAGCAAAACCAACACTAACACATCTAAGCAGCTCTTTTCTCATGTCTACTAACAAGGTCGCTCTTGCAGAGCAAGCAGCAGTTACCATTGTTCAGTGAAACAGGCAACTTTAAAAATGACACCAGATCCATAGTATTGTTTTTTTTTTTTTTTAAATCACATTCTTGGTGTATTTTCTGGAAGCCATCATCTTTAAAATTGCTGCCAGCAGGATGGTTTTTATTGTTGGTTATTCTTCTATGGAATTTAATAAATATTCATCGACAGAGAACAACATAATTCATTCAGCCACTTTCATTTTTATCAGCTCCACAGAAGGCTTTGGACTTTTCTGGAAACCTCTGGGAGTCACCAGTGGTTGACAATAAGCTGCTTTTGTGAGGTCCTTGGGTAGACGGGTGGAGAAGAGAAAATAATATCTGTTCTAAGAAACCACTTTCTGAGCTTTATCAGGAGCTATCCACCACTGTGAACATCAGCAGTGTGCAGGTCTATGGGTACTCCGTGATAAGCTATAAAAGACCCAATGTATTTTAAAATGAATGCTTAGGAATCAAGTTAATTCATGGTGATTTATCAGACAGCAATCATTCAATATGCCAAATAAATTCTTATGTACTACTTAAATCTGATCGCATATTTCAGCACTCATTTATTTTCAAATTATCCATCAGTATGGGTTATTCAGGCTTTGAAAGAAAAAAATGATTTCGATTTTTTTGAACCTTCAAAATGATACCTACAAAACATTAATTTAAAAGTAATACATGCCGGGCTTGGTGGCTCAGCCTGTAATCCCGCGCCTTTGGGAGGCTGAGGTGAGTGAATTGCCTGAGCCCGCGGGTTCGAGACCCGCCTGGGCAGCGAGACCTCATCTCTACAATAAATCAAAAAATCAGCTGGGCGTGGTAGCGCATGCCTGTAATTCCGGCTACTTGGAAGGCTAAGGCGGAAGAATCACCAGAGCCCAGCAGGTCGAGGCTGCGGTGGCCGGAAGCGGCCACTACACTCCAGTCTGGGCGACAGAGTGAGACTCCAACTCAAAAAAAAAAAAAAAAAAAGTAATACATTTTATAGTTACCATTACAGTTATCATTTATACTGTAAACACCATTTTTTCGACAAAAGGACTGAGTTTAGCTAATGATTTTATTGTCTTTGGAAACGCACAAATATGCCACCCATACAAAAAAATCTCCACATCTTTCCAATAAGTTGTTTGTCAACAATTGAGGCTAGGCACGATGGCTCATGCCTGTAATCCCAGCACTTCAGGAGGCAGAGGTGGGAGATTGCTTGAGCCCAGGAGTTTGAGACAAGCCTAGGCAACAAAGTGAGACCTTGTCTCTACAAAAAATTAGCTAGGCATGGTGGCATGTGCCTGTAGTCCCAGCTGTGTGGGAGGAGGAGGCAGGGAGGAGCCTGAGACCAGAAGGTCGAGTTGTGGTGCCCTGATTATGCTACTGCACTCCAGCCTGAGTGACAGAGTGAGATCCCAACTAAAAAAACAAAAACAAAACAAAAAACCCCACTGAAACTCTCTTCTAGTTTGCTAAAACACCAGTCAAAACACTTTTTCACAGAGAGTTTGGATCGGCGTGGATCATGTTGCTGATGACTTTACAAATATCACTTAAGAAATATAGCATGTCTGGCATTCTGACTTTTGCCTTCTTCCTTGCATGTTTCTATAATTTGCTCTCTAAATTTACTCCACACTGGCTTTGACCAGATTTCTGGCTTTTCTGTTTTTCTTCTTACTGGAATGCCTGTGAAAGTGACCGGAGGAGACTGCCAGGAAATGCTGAAGCTGCTGCCATTGGGGGTGAACTTGGCCGATCCTGGAATGGTCATGGGGGGTGTGGCCTGTTAAACAAAACACAGAGAAAGCTGTTATGAAAGGACATTTTCCCCTCAGAGTCTTAAGCTCTCATTACCAAAAGAGGGCCTCAGAAATGGTCTCAGCTGCATTAATTACTTAGAATAATTATCTAATAGAAGGAGATTAAACAGGGCCAACGGGAGGAGCTAGACATTAACTATGTACATATACCTAGGTAAGGTGTAAAAGAAGATGGTTTTTGATGGTCTATTTCTGAAAAAAAAAATTCATTATATGTACATATACCTATTTTAGGACACCTGTGAGATATAGTGCCTCATTATCAAATTGGGAAATAGACACTCTCATACTGTGATGGTGGGTGTATAAATTAATATAACATAATTTGGCAATATGTATTAAAATTCTTAGCTATGTAGTAGCTGTTCCACTTCTAGAAATTCATTCTAAGGAAATGGACACAAGGATGTTCATAGCACATATATTATTAAAATACTGAAAACAACACAAATGCCCAGCCATAGGGAAATAGGTAAATAAATCATGATATACCCACAGAGTCATTAAAAATGTTGTTAGAATGGTATTGGTATAAAAACAGATAAGAAGACCAAGGAAAAGAATAGAAAACCCAGATATAAGCCCACATATTTACAGCCAACTGATTTTCAGTAAAGGTTCCAAGAACATACAATGGGGAAAGGATACCCTCTTCAATAAATGCAGGGAAAACTGGATATCCACATGCAGAAGAATGAAACTAGACCCCTGTCTCTCACCATATACACAAAGAAACCAAAATAGATTAAAGGCTTAAATTAAGACCCGAAACTATGAAACTACTGGAAGAAAACATGGGGGAAACACTTGAGGACACTGGTCTAGGCAGGAGTTTTATGGCTAAGACAGCAGAACCACAGGCAACAAAACACAAATAAATGGGACTATATTAAAATAAAAAGCTTCTGCACAGCTAAGGAAACAATCACCTGAGTAAAGAGACAACCTGTTGAATGAAAGAAAATATTTGCAAAGTATTCATCTAACAAGGGACTAATACTTGGAATATACAAGGAACTCAACTCCACAAAGTGGGCAAAGGACTTGATAGACATTTTGCAAAAGAAGACATAAATGGCTAATGGGTTCATGAAAAAATAATCACGACTTATCAGGGAAATGCAAATCAAAACTGCAATGAAATATGATCTTACCCCAGTTAGAATGGCTATTATTAAAAAGACAAAAAAAAAATAACATGTTAGTGAAGAGGCAAAAAAAGTGAACTCTTATACACTGTTGGTGGGAATGTAAGTTAGCACAATCATTTTGGAGAACAGTAAAGAGATTCCTCAAAAAAACTAAAAAGAAAAATACTATCTGATCCAGTAATCCCACTAGTGGGTATTATCCAAAGGGAAAAGTCAGTATATCAAAAGGTTACTTGCACCCCAAGTTTACTGTAGCACTATTCACTATTCATAGCAAAGATATGAAATCAACCTGTGTCCGTGGATGGATAAAGAAAAGGTGGTACATATACAGAATGGAATACTATTTGGCTATAAAAAAGAATGAAATCATATCATCCACAGTAATATGGATGGAACTGGAGACCATTATGTTAACCGAAGTAAACCAGGCACAGAAAGACATGTTTTCACTCATACAGGGGAGCTAAAATAATTGATCTTATGAAGGTAGAGAGTAGAACGATAGTTACCAGAGGTGGGGAGGGTGTGTGCCATGAGGGGCAGGGGTAATGTAAAGGTTGGTTAATGGGTTCAAATATCCAATTAAACAGAAGGAATAAGAGCTAATGTTTGATAGCAGAGTTAGGGTGACTATTTTAAATTTCAAAGTCACTAGAAGAGAGGACTTGAAATGTTTCCAACACATAGAAATGATAAATACATGAGGTGATGGATATCCTAAATACCCTGACTTGATCATTACATCTTCCATGAAAGTAACAAGATATTACATGTACCCCATAAATATGTATAGACATTCTCAGTTTAAAAAATTCCCTTGTTGAAGAAGACTCATAAGCATGGGACAATGTTCATGATATATTAAGCGGAAAAAACAAAGCATAGTGAAAACAATACTACAATAGATCCTTTTTAAAAAAATGTATACATGAGGGGAAATGTGTATATATAGACAGAGAACTCTTAAAGGACATACAAAAAAATATTAACCAAGGGGCTGTCTGGTCCCCTTGGTTAATTAGGGAATTAGGGATGAATTTTCTTTTGTTGCTGTGTTTTTAAACATTTTCTATGTTGAACATTTACAGTATCTATAAACAGAAAAGTCCCATTATTATGAATATATGCTTTGGGAAGGACCTTCTAGATTAACTCATGTTCCAGCTTTCTCATTATATAGATGAACAAAATGTTCTGAGTTGGTTTAAGCTCATGATTTCTGACCTAAGTGCAACACTGACAAATAAGAAAAAATGAATTCTTTTTTTTTTTTTTTTTGAGTTGGAGTCTCACTTTGCTGTCCAGGCTGGAGTGTAGTGGCACCATCCTGGCTACTGCAGCTCTGACCTACTAGGATCAGGTTGTCCTTCTGCCTCAGATTTCCAAGTTAGCTGGACTACAGGCATGTGCCACCACACCCGGCGTGTGTGTGTGTGTGTGTGTACGTATGTATGTATTTATTTTAGAGATGATATCTTGTCATGTTGCCCAAGCTGGTCTTGAACTTCTGGGCTCAGGAAATCCTCTCACCTCAGCCTCCCAAAGTGCGGATTATAGGATTATAGGCATGAGCCACTGTGCCTGACCAAGTTACTATTATTTTTTTTTTACCAATGTACCAAGAGTCAGGAATAAAATTTACTGTACCAACTAACTTAATATTTACTCTATTCCACTGCTCCTGAGTCTGCTAAATAAGGGTCTGAATTCTTCCTCTATCGATTTGGTGAATCCAACTACAAATATATTTGCTAGTGACAGTGGTCTTTGTAACTGGCACCACTGGAAAGCATTCTGGCAATACACAAGAGCCATAAGTTGTTCATTACTATGATATCCTCTGACTCAATAATTTATCTTCTGAAAATTTAAAGAAAAAAGCTATAGGCAGAAAGATTTTCATAGTAAAGCTATTAATGATGGTGAAATAACTGGATAAATTAAAAAATAAATTCTTAACAAAATGATTAAAACAATTTGGTGTTTCAATTTAATTGCACACTATTCAGATATATGAAAAGTTTTTATAAAACAAGATTAGGAGAACACAATTACAAGCATGTAAAAGATATTTTATAAGTTGCATAAGGTAGTTGAAAATTATGGGAGAAATGATTTCTCAAAATTTGAATGTGTTGAAATTTTATTAAAACAAACCAACATTTAAAAGAGTTATATTTTAGGCTGGGCATGATGGTTCATGCCTGTAATCCCAGCACTTTGGGAGACAGAGACAGGAGGATCACTTGAGGCCAGGAGTTCCAGACTAGCCTGAGCAAGATAGTAAGACCTCGTTTCTACAAAAAAAAAAAAAAAAAAAAAATTAGGCATGGTGGTGTGAACCTGTAGTTCCAGTTACTCAGGAGGCTGAGGCAGAAGGGTTGATTGCCTGAACCCAGAAAGTCAAGGCTGCAGTGAGCCATGATCATGCTACTGCACTCCAGCCTGGGCAGCAGAGTGAGACCCCAACTTATTAAAAAAGAGTTGTATTTTATAAAATGTAACATAATTTCTGGGGGTAAGGAAAGGCATCTCAACCATGTCCTAATTTGGCAGGATTTGTCTCTAAGGTCTCGTCAGACTTTGGCATGAATCAGAATTCCCTGGAGGGCCTGTCACAAAATGCTGGGCCCTAAACCCAGCTTCTGATCTAGTAGGGCTGGGGTGGTCCCAAGAATTTACATTTCTAGCAAGTTTTCAGGTAATGCTGACACTATTGGCTTGGGGAACACTAGAAACCAGTACTCTAATCAGACAGGCTTAATTACCCACTTAGAAGGCAGGCCGTGAATTCCCAGATTTGGGGTACAGGGTGATTCTGTCATTGTGCCAAAGCTTTCCAGTGCTCACCTTTCTATTTATTCAATTTTAAAAAATTTAACAGATACTCATGCAATATGCCAGGCACCATTCTGAGGACTTTAAAATATTAAGGATTTTAGTCTCATAATGACCTCTAGGGGACTGGAGCTACAGTTAGCATGGGGGAGTCTGAGAGTAACCCACAAGACCCATCTGTGTGAGGTCTTGGCTTAAAAAGGAAAAAAGAGGCTGGGTGCAGTGGCTCATGCCTGTAATCCCAGCACTTTGGCAGGCTGAAGCGGGAGGATTACTTGAGCCCAGGAGTTTGAGACCAGCCTAGGCAACACAGTGAGAACTTATCCCTAAAAATAAATAAAAATTAAAATAGAATTAGTCGGGTATGGTGGTGTATGCCTGTAGTCCCAGCCACTCAAAAGGCATTGGCAGAACGATCGCCTGAGCCCAGGAGGTTGAGGCTGCAGTGAGCTATGATCATGCCACTGTACCCCAGCCTGGGTGACAGAGCTGATACCTTGACTCAAAAAAATAAAAAATAAAAATAGGCCAGGCTCGGTGGCTCAGCCTGTAATCCCAGCACTTTGGGAGGCCGAGGCGAGTGGATTGCCTGAGCCTGCGGGTTCGAGACCAGCCCAGGCAACTTGGTGAGACCTTGTCTCTACAATAAATCAAAAATTAGATGGATGTGGTAACACGTGCTTGTAGTTCTGGCTACTTGGAAGGCTGAGGCAGAAGGATTGCTGGAGCCCAGCAGGTCGACGCTGGGGTGGCCATGAGTGCATCGCTGCACTCTAGCCTGGGCAACAGAATGAGACTCCAACTCAAAAATAAATAAATAAACAAATAAACAAATGAAGAAAAATAAAAAGTGAAGCTACTAGATTGCAGGGTGTGATACTGCTTTTCTACTGAGTTATCTTTTACCCAGTGGCCGATGGCAACTGCTTTTGGTCAAGGTCAAAATGATTACCCTCCTGGTCCCTTGCGCATCACCTGGTAAGCATGGTCGGTGTGTACGAGGTAGAGGGTAGTGGGAGCTGAGCGGCTCAAGGGTGTCATCAATTTAGTCTCGGTTTTGGCACAAGGAGTTTCTGTTCGGCTTGACTCTGGGATGGGGAAGGTGGGAGGCGAAGCCAGGGACTGGGAGGGCGACACCGGGGCCAGGCTGCTCAGTCCATCTGCCACCGAGTCTGTGTTGAGCTTGATCTCAGTGTAGTAGAAGTCCTCTTCTCCATCACTGTAGTCAGAGTCCCCAACACGCCTAATGCGAAAGAAAGCAAAACAGTCCTACTAAGCCGATCTGTTTTCTTGCCTCGAAATTGCCCAGGAAGCTCCCTCTGTCTGGAATGCTTGTCCTCTTTCTTGTCTGGGAGGCAGACTCTTGCTTATTACGCAATACTCAATTCAACTGTTCATCCCTGAGAACCCTCCCTTGACTTCTTAAAGCAATTCATTCATTCACTATTTCCATCAATTATTCCACAACAATTTATTGAGAATCTGTATGTCCAGGCACTGTTCTTTGGTTTTCTGATATTACAGTGAATAAAACGTAAACTGTGCTCTGATGGAACTTACAGTTTAGTAGGGATAGCAGACAGGAAACCCACAAAAATAGATACTTAACAAGTGGGAGCTAAATAATACGGACACATGGACACAAAGACTGGAATAATTGACACTGGAGACTTGGACGAGCAATTATCTGTCGGGTACAATGTACACTGTTTGGGTGATGGCTATGCTACAAGCCCAGACTTCACCACTAAGCAATATGTCCATGGAGCAAAACTGCACTTGTACCCCCTAAATCTGTAAAATAAATAAATAAATAAAATTTAAAAAAGAAAAATAAATATAGCAGGTGTTGACAAGTCCAGAAGGAAATGAAGCAGCATAATAAGAGGGTCCTTAAACAGGGCAAGTGATGGGAGGACACTATTTAAGACAGAAGTCTCTCTGAGGAGATGACATTTGAGCAGAGACCTGCCCGAATGAAGAGAGACTATGCCGGAACCTGTGGGAAGAAGACACCTGGGAAGAGCCACACGGAGCCCTCAGGTGGGCGAGCCTGGCAGCGAGGCCAGCAGGGGTGGGGGGGGGTGGGGGAAGCAAGGAACAGGCGACAGGAGTGAGAGCGAGCCAGAGGCAAGATCTCTCTGTGGCCCACAGCGAAGGCTCTGGCTTGTATTCTGAATGTGATGGGGAATTTTGAGAAATTTAACTTATTTTTGAAAAGGATCACTCTGGACACTGTCTGGAAAATAGAGGACAGGAGGAAGAGGCTTCCAAGGAGCTGTAGTCAGCAATAATCCAGATGAGCACTGACAGGGGCCGGGCAGGGGTAACAGTGGTAGAAGTGACTAGAAGTCAAGTTCTGGGTATATTTTAAAGGCTAGGCTTTAGGACTTAACTCCTGATAGTTCTCTGTGCTCCCTCTGACATGTGTTCATCCCTTTAATTATGGGATATATTTCTGCAATTTTTTAAAGACTCTTTGTCACCTCACTATGACTGTGATTCTCTAGGGCTACCGTCTTGTTTATTGTTGTGTCACTCCACACACACCAGCGTATTTGGCACAGGGTAGATACCTATTAAATGTTGAATGGATGAATGAATGAAGCTGAGAGTACTATAGCACAATGATTAGGACCCTGGATTCCAGAGTCAGACCTGCGGGGTCAAATCCTGACTCCTGCGTGTTCTAGTTGCGTGTGTAGACTTCGGCAGCCTACATGTAGCCCTGTGCCTCTGTTTTTTCATTTATAAAATGGGACTAATGTTAGCACCTGGTTGTTGTGAGGGTTAAGTAAATAATTAAAAAGTGCTTACAAATGTACCTGCAGGCCAGGTGTGGTGTGGCTCATGCCTGTAATCCCAGCACTTTGAGAGCCTAAGGCGGGAGGAATGCTTGAGCCTCTAAATTTGAAACCAGCCTGGGCAGCATGAGACCTTGTCTCTACCAAAAAAAATTAGCCAGGTGTGGCGGCATCTCACCTGTAGTCCCAGCTACTCAGGAGGCTAAGACAGGAGGATGGCCTGAGTCCAGGATGTCGAGGCTGCAGTGAATTGTGATTGTGCTGTTGCACTCCAGCCTGGGTGACAGAGGGAGATACCTGACACAGACCTCTGACCTATAATACTCACTATGTAAGTGTTTATTAAATAAAAACAAGGACGGGAAGATCTCCCTTCTTACTATCACGAGGAAAAGTATCTTCTCGGGGAATCTGCTTTCAAAGTTCTTCTCCCTGAGATATGGAACACTGTACTTTTCCAAAGAAAGTTTTGAGTAAAGTAAAATAACTTTCTACAACCTCAGGAAACATGTATTAGATGTGTTGGTTTCTAAAGAAGAGGCATGTATCTAGCAACCTGGGTTTATGGGATGGCTGGGCAGAGGCCATGGTGGCCCCTCAGTTCAGGGTGCCTCCACCAGCAGCAGGTTACTGACTCAGAACACATTTTTTTTTCCCCACTAATGAGCTCTATATAGAACCCCAAATAAAAATACACCCCCAAACTATCCTCAGGCTTTTCTGTTTGTCCAAATCAGTGGCTTGTCCCAGTCTAATTCCATTTCCCCTAAGCTCTTCGGTTGAGGCGCCCGGAGAGGTATCTTTGTACCATGTCAGGTCTGACCAGGCTTGGATTTCTAACCAGCATACCATTAAAGACCCCAGAGAGCGAGACTAAGAATGAGCGTCTGTTCTATTCCTGTCCCCACTTCCTTTCCAGTTAAAGGCAGACCAAGTTGCTGCTGGCTGCCAAGTACTACTAATAGACACACAGGCCTGGGGGGAACTGTGTCCTGCAGGGACAAATCAGTATCAGCTGCTGGTGTACAAGAACAGAGTGAGATTTTTTTTTTGAGTTGGAGTCTCACTCCATTGCCTAGGCTGGAGTGCAGTGGCACACTCACGGCTACCCCAGCATTGACCTGCTGGGTTCCAGTGATCCTTCCGCCTCAGCCTTCCAAGTAGCCAGAACTATAGGCATGTGCTACCATGCCCGACTAATTTTTTGATTTATTGTAGAGATGAGGTCTCACCAAGTTGCCCAGGTCGTTCTCAAACCCGTGGGCTCAGGCAATTCCCTCACCTCGGCCTCCCAAAGTGCTGGGATTACAGGCTTGATCCACCATGCCCGGCCCAGAGTGAATTAAGAGAAAACAGCGTGTTTTTTTTTTTTTTGAGTGTCACCCAGGCTGGAGTGCAGTGGCAGGATCATGATGATCAGGTTAATAAAGCCTTGACCTGCTGGGCTCAGGCAATGCTTCCATCTCAGTCTCCTGAGTAGCTGGGACTACAGGCGTGTGCCACTGTGCTTGGCTAATTTTTTTGCAGAGAGGAGGTTTTGCTATGTTGTCCAGGCTGGTTTTGAACTCCAGTGACCCATCTGCTGTGGCTCCCAAAGTGCTGGGATTACAGGCACGAGCCACTGTGTCTGGCCTGGTGTACTTTTCATATTGACATGTTGTGTACTGCGGATACATCAGATGCAAAGATGTGTTTGGGCTTTGATATACTTCCTTCCTCATCCTGATACAGAGACCCGCTATTGTCTGTCCATATTGCCACAACCCCTAGAGAAGGGTATCGCCAGGGTTCAAGTGCTCCTGCCTCTGTCAACATTCCTGAGAGCTAACAAAAGGTGTGCTTCCCCTTATCTCCTATGCACCCCAATAAGTGACTTCATAAGAACTCTTGATTTCCTCCAGACTGTGCCTAATTAACTGAAAGATGTAAACTCCCTTTTCTTAGTAGTCCAGGTTTGAATAATCTAGTATCCAGGTCATCCTTGTGATTTGTATAACTTTTGCATATAACATGTAACAATGTATGATGTCTTAGGCCCTCTTAACTACCTTTACTCTATGGCAAGCTTGATTAATACTTCTGATGGGTGTTACTGATAAAAAGCTGTGAGATACCTCTGGTAACTGGCGCCAGGAAATGTGGACCATAAAATGTCATTATTAACAAAATGCGGCTATGACTTAGGTGTTATACAATGCCCTGTTAGTCACGTAGTCAATGTATAGGCAGCAACTACGCTGAACTTATAAAAGCAGACCGTAAAACTTATAGGGTAGGCAGAACCATTTTAAAGGGGCCAAAAGCCCAGTTCGGCTCCCTGGATTCGAATTCAGAAATAAACCTCTTTCTACCAGTTCCCTGCCCCTTTGATTTATTGGTATCAAGGGAGAGCAGCCGAGCGTTACTCGGACTATAACAATCCCCCTGATCCCCAGTCAACTTATTAAAAATCACCTTATAGTCACGTAACAGAGTTCATGGATTAAGGCAGAGGTGTGCTGTCTCTCCCAGTCCACGGGAGAGCTCAGGCCTCCGGCTTCACAAACATAGATTAGCCCTGCGGTCCTGATAACCCAGGCCTATTCCTGTGCAGTGGCTGGCAGGGATGTGGCCCATCACTCACCAAGGCAATTCTAAAAGCATGTCAGGGGAAAGGGGGTCCTGGGGAAGCAAATCAAGTGGCTTCATTTTGAATTCCACCCATTGCAAGAGCACCCCGGGAGCACAAAGGAAAATGGTGTGATCCACTTCCTGCCTATGAGTACATATTCATAGAATGTGCTTCTGAGTGGAGCTCACTAGGGTTCCATTTTCTGGGCAGGCAGATGAAAACAAATACCACACCTTCTGGCAATAGCTTTGGGAGGTTTTTTCTAAACCTTTAAATAATGCTGGCTGAGCCCTTTACACAGTGAATTGTCTTAACAGTGAGATCTCAGGGGAGACACTGCAGAATTTCCTCCCCTGAAGGCTTGTGGGACAGAAATGAGGCTTCCGCCCTTAGGTATCTCAGTGTGCTGCTGCTGCTTTTTTTTTTAATTTTTATTTTGAAATTGTGGGGTACAATTCAGGGTTAGGTATACAAATGTTCATTGTGCAAGTACCCTTATTGATGAGGTGTGCCCCCCCTTCCCCAGGTGGATATCGACTGCTGTCAATCCCAGTTATCCCCCCACCCTCCTCCCCACAGTTTCCCGCTACTTTCAGTCCCTTTCCTACAGAAAAAAAAGATACATGCACACGTATGTTTATTGCAGTGTGCTGCTTCTTCTTTTTTTTTTTTGAGTTGGAGTCTCACTCTGTCACCCAGACTGGAGTGCAGTGGCTGCTCCCGGCCACTGCAGCCTCGATCTGCTGGGCTCCCGTGATCCTTCCGCCTCAGCCTTCCGAGTAGCTGGAACTACAGGTGCCTGCTACCATGCCCGGCTAAATTTTGATTTATTGTAGAGATGAGGTCCCGCCAAGTTGCCCAGGCGGGTCTTGAACCCGCGGGTTCAGGCAATCCACTCACCTCAGCCTCCCAAAGGCACGGGATTACAGGCTGAGCCACTGAGCCCGGCTGTGTGCTTCTTCTTAGACATGAAGGTAGGCCTTCTGGCTAGGGGAGCAGAGGTTGGCTTCTCTGGGCCATATCCCCAGTGCTTGTGACCTTCAGGGCGCTGTGCTCTGGAAGGCTCTGGTGTATCCCCATCCATCAGCCTGAAGGGTGAGAAAGCTAGGCCCCTGTTTCTCTCCACAGCCGCCGAGGAGCCACCCTTTGAGCTGAGCGACATCACCTGAGAACCTATTTTTGTCTTCTGCCTACACCACTTGTTGTGGATGACGCATTTCCTAAATTTTATCCCTTGCTGTGTTAAGTGACTGTTGCGTTGATTTCCCCACACTTATCTCGCCAAAAGGACTCCTCTGTGTCTGTGCATGTGGGAGCTTGGTCATGCATTTGTGTTCTCCTTAGGAACACTGGTTATGACTCACAGCTTCTCAAGGTCTTGTCTACGTTCCGGATTCCTGGACAAGACAGACTGAGGGTGAAAGCACAAGCTGCTGGACCGCCACGGCTCCCCTTGGTGACTCTTAACTGCTGTGGCTCCTAAACCTTCATTTCTCTTTCCTTTAGAAAGATGGTTGTATAACAGGAGGTCAAGTGTAGATTTTACAAATAAAGGGCTTATTTGAACAGCAGAAGGTGATCGGGATAGATCATTAGGCATCCTAAGAACAGCAACAGCGAAAACAGGCACGGTAACTCATGCCTGTAACCCTAACGCTTTGGGAGGCCAAGACAAGAGGACTGCTTGAGCCCAGGAGATTGAGACAAGCCTGGGCAACATAGCAAGACCTCATCTCTGCCAAAAAAAAATTTAGCTGGGTGTGGTGGCACACACATGTGGTCCCAGTCACTCAGGAGGCTGAGGGGGAAGAATTGCCTGAGCCCAGAAGGTCGAGGCTGTGGTGAGCAGTGATCGTCTACTGCACTCCAGTCTGGGGGAAAGAGCGAGACCCCCCCATGCAAACAAAAACAAAGAAATAAAGGAAGAGCAACAGCCGGACTGATTTGTGTGGTGATTCTTACACCCTTTTTATTCTATATACAACTTTAAGACTCAAAGTCTTAAATATTCTCCATTGAAAAAACAAATGTACGTTTCATTTCACAGATAATTTCAGGGGGTTCAAGGACCTCTTGGAGTCCAACTAGGGTAGGGGATCTCAGTCAGGAACCCCTACACTGGTGTTTTATACTGTACAAGTCTCTCCATAAATGAGAAGGAAATCCCCCAAAACGTCAGAATTATGTGTTGGAGGGCAAGCCCCTAGTAGTACAGGCTTCCTCCACTAGGTCAGTGTTCTAGGGACCCATCAGCATCAGTGTGCCAGACAGTGTTGTTTGTGAGAGGCTGCATTTGGCTTCAGTGAATTTTTGGAGATTCTTTCAAAATGTTTGCCCATTTCATGACTGGTGATTTATGTGTACACCTGTCCACACTGTGCTGAGGGTTCAACACTTTTTGATTAAAAAATGGAGCCGGGCTCGGTGGCTCAGCCTGTAATCCCGCGCCTTTGGGAGGCTGAGGTGAGTGGATTGCCTGAGCCCGTGGGTTCGAGACCCGCCTGGGGAGCGAGACCTCACCTCTACAATAAATCAAAAAAAATCAGCCGGGCGTGGTAGCGCACGCCTGTAATTCCGGCTACTCGGAAGGCTGAGGCGGAAGGATCGCCGGAGCCCAGCAGGTCGAGGCTGCGGTGGCCGGGAGCGGCCACTGCACTGCACTCCAGCCTGGGCGACAGAGTGAGACTCCAACTCAAAAAAAAAAAAAAAAAAAAAATGGCATGACAAGCCCTATGCCCCACACTTCTTAGTCACCCAATTTTGCCCCGAGAGACTTTTTTCTGTTTCCCTGGATGAAAAAAGTCCTCAAAGAGAAACATTTTGCTGATGTGGAAGTGGTGAAACAAAAAATGGCAGAAGCACTAAAAGGCATCGAAACTGATGGGTTCAAAAACTGTTTTGAGCAGTGGACAAAGCATCTCGATAGGTGAATTGCAGCAAACAGAGAGTACTTTGAAGGTGACTGAAGTTTAAACATGTAAGAATAAATACACAATTTTTATAAGTAAATTCAGGTTTTTGGGAGGTCCCTCTTTTACACTTTATCTCTGACCCTCACACATGATCCTGCAGAGCTGACATTATTATTCATGGTCAGAGGAAACTGGGGGCTCAGAGCAGTGACTTGCCTAATGTGACTCAGGAAGTAAATTAGGAGGCTTTCAAATATTAAATCCTCATTCTTTCCACTGTGCTCACAGGCCTGGATTATCTGCAGTGGCCCTGTCTCTAGAGATTAGGAAGTCCAAACCAGCCCAGTACCCAGGACTTTTAATGCACGACGTGGTGTGTGCTTTCTGAGTGCGGGTGGCCCCAGTCTAAAATGACAGAGACAGCATCGAGCTCTGAAGGAAGGGCTTCCTTACCCCAGGTGGATGGTCCGGATGTGCTTCTGGATGCCTGCCGCAGTGCTCAGCACCTTGCCACAGTTTTTCCAGAGGCATTTGAACATCACCTTCATGGAGTTCTATAAAGGGGAGAGAAAGGTATAGCAAGATGAAAACTATTTTCTAGCAACATTTTCCTTCTCTCATCCCAACATATTTTTTCCTTCATTAGAAAAGTAATAGCTTCCCACCCTTTTTGACTGTAACTCGGTGTGTTCTGGGATCTCCCCTACCCCCACCCCAGGCTGATGAGTACCTCCGACATTTTCCCACATCTTTCATGAGAACTGAGCTTTGCTGGAATATTTTAGATCTTTCTCATGAAGGTGGTCACAGGGCCATTTAGGCTGTAAAAACAGAGGCCAATATTCACTGAGCACTTACTATGTGCCGGGTAGTGTCTTATATGTTTATCTCATTTAATCCTAAAAGATAAGATACTATACATGTCTCCATTTTACAAATGCTTAGAGAGCTACAGTAAAAAGTGTCCAGTCAATGAACCAGTTACTGGACGAGCTGGAATATGAATCCAGGGAGTCTAGCTCCAGAAATCACCCTCTCTACCAGTACACGATTTCACCTTCTTCAGCGAGGGTCTCAGTGTTTTCTAAAAACATCCAGCACTGTGACTAAGACCACTGACTTTGGACTAACGGTGAAAATTTCATTTTTATTTTTTTATTTTAAAATTGTGGGGTACAATTCAGTGTTAGGTATACAAAATATTCATTGTGCAGGTACCCTTGATAATGAGGTGTGAACTATGAAAATTAAATGAGGTCATAGAAATGAATCAGTTTGTAAAATGGTGACAGGAATAACCATTCAACCAATAGCAGCTATTATTTATATTTATTATTATATTATTATAGTATTATTATAATTATGCTTTCTGCCATGAATTTTATAGGGAGTTTTTCCTCCAGAAAGGTCCCTCGTTATTGGGATACCATCTTTTTGCTGATTGTTCCCTCGTTTATGGTAACAGTCATTTCCATGTGTTCACCAAGACCCATTTCCTTTCCCTCCTGGGCAGACAGCAGAACAGCACATGAGTGAATTAGGAAAAAGTGACATGCATTCTTTCTTAGCCTCACCCCTAAACTTCCCAGTGTCACCCCAGCCTGCTCTGCTGACGAGATGCAGAAACCACCAAGGACTTAGGGGACAGCAGAACCACTAGATCAGGCATTCTTAATCTCTTGTTTGCCATGAACCCTTTTGGCAGTCTGGTGAGACTTATGGACCCTCTCTTGGAATAGTGTTTTTGGATGTTAAAATGAAATACATACAGTTACAAAGCAAGGCAAGAGTACTGAAACACACTTATAAAAATATTTTGTGATGTGGCAATATATGTACGCTCTAATTAACAGATGAAATAACAAGATCTTGAAGTGGGTCTAATAACTACCATAATATTTCATGATGTTTACTAAAATTGTAAATTGATATGAAATATCTATGATTTCTTTGGGTATTAAAGTAACACAGGTGGTGCTAATATTATGATGATTTAATGCCTTCAAATCATAATTGCAGACAATGTGAAATTGTAGTTAAGAGGTTGGTGACGATATACACATCTTCCCCCATTCAAATTCTCAGACTCCCTGAATTCTGTGCACCCCTTTGGGGATCTGTGGACTCCAGATTAAGAAACCCAGCACTAGACGCCTAGGACCCTGGAGGGCTGTTTGAAGCAGGGACACCCCACACCTTTCCACCCACCCCCCTCAATGACCTGACTGGACTGTGACATGAGAAAGAAATAAACCTTCACTATATTAAGCTACTGAGGTTTGGAAATGGGTTGTTCCAATAGTAAGCCTACCCTGACCAACAAACACAGTGGTGATGATACCTTCCCTGAACTGATGAAACTGTTCTATTGTGGTGTATGCATCTGCTAGGATTTCTGCCATCAAGTACTTGTGGTGCCCACCATCATACTCCTGGTTCTCAAAGGAAACATTTAGAAGATGACTCATCTGGCTATTACTGACGGAATCAGTATGTGGATGACTTATCTAGACAGCTACTCCCAATGAAGACTACCTCTAGGTTTCTGAATTGAAAAAGGTACTTGGGGCAGGGGCAGGTGCTATGGCTCACACCTGTAATCCCAATGGTTTGGGAGGCTAAGACGGGAGAATCACTAGAGGCAGGAGTTGGACACCAGTCTGGGCAACATAGTTGAGACCCCCATCTCTTTACAAAAAAATTAGCCAGGTGTGGTGGTGTGCTCCTGCAGTTCCAGCTACTCAGAAGGCTGAGGTGGAAAAATCACTTGAGCCCAGGAGTTTGAGGTTACAGGGAGCTGTGACTGCACTCCAGCGCTCCAGTCTGGGTAACAGAGCAGGACCCTGTCTTAAAAAAAAAAAAAGAAAAAGAATGAATGAAAAAGAAAATGGCACTTGGAAATGTCCAGAATTGAGGCATGAGCACATGTTGGTGAATGGTTGCTTTTAACATGGCAAGCAGAAGACAAAGCATGGCAGCACATTGCTGCAATCTGCTCGAGGAGACTGACAACTGAAGGAGCCTACCGTTCACGTGGGCTTTGTTAGCCCGGTGGTCCACTGTGTCCCAGAAGCACGCCTGGGCAGCCACACTCACAGCACAACCACCCAGCTGTTCATTCTGTAGCTCCTGTACCACACCCAGCTCAGTGATGCTCCCCCTGTGATGTGCAGTGTTGAGCCATGGGTGCCAGAGCCGAAGCTCTTAGAGGGATGTGAAGTAACTAAGAAATACATAATACAGAGACTTTAAAGACCATGATCCTCATGAGTCTGTGTTTACTCTAAGGAGACAGTTCACAAGTTTCCCTGATCTCCTTGGGCCACTGACCTAAGATGTCATGTAAGATGAGGCAGAAGGGGCTCATCCCACTTTGCCCCCAACATCCAAGGGTCACAAAAAGGATTTCTGCTTGTTCTGTTTTATACAAACCATAAATTTGACTTAACTATATTATATTAGTCCATTCTGTATTGCTATAAAGGAACACCCGAGGCTAGGTAATTTGTAAAGAAAAGAGGTATTTAGATCATTGTTCTGCAGGCTGTACAAGAAACATGGTGCTGGCATCTGCTCAGCTTCTGGTGAGGGCTTTTGTGCTGAGTCAAATCATGGCGGAGAGGAGAAGGTCAAAGGGGAAACAAGCGAAAATGTGCAAAGAGGGATCAAGCCTGAGGAGTGTCTTTGCTTTATCATAACCTACTTTGAGAATGAATCCATTCCCTCAAAAATTAATCCAGTCCCACAAGAGCGAGAACTCACTATTAGAGCACGGCACCAAGCCATTCATGAGGGATCTGCCTCTGTGACTCAAACACCTCTCATGATGTCCCACCTCCAAACATGGGATCAAATGTCAACCTGTGATTTGGTAGGGTCAAACACACCGTATCAAACCATGGCAAATACCAATGAACAAATCCTCATACTATGAGTGACTTCTGCCCATTTTTCAAATGATGAAGCTATACTGTAGAAAATATCTTCCACTTAACGACATTTACGACTAAAACCAAAATTACAGGTACCCAAGTATATGTCTGGAAATGAAGTCATGATAGATGAAAATATTTTGATTTATTCCTAACTTTTTTGCCAATGGCATTCTTTCATTCATTATACCAAGTATCTATCTAGCGAGGAATATTCTAGGTGCTGAGGACAGAGAACAAAAAAAGAAAAGAAGCTGCTTGCAAGGAGCTGAAATTCTCATGGGGAAGAGATGTAAATTATAATACGCAAGGATCACTTCAGATATAGCCCGAAGCCTTGAGAAGGTGATTTTGAGTTTGAATTTGAACGCTAGAGAAGGAGCCAGCCAAGCGAAGAGCTAGAGTTTTCCATGTAAAGTAAAGAGTTGAATACAATACCAAAATCAAAAATGTTGATTAATTAAAAAAAAAAAAGAAAGAAAAGGCAAAGGCCTGAAGATGACAAAGAGCTGAGCTTGTCAAAGGCCATAGAGAAAGACGGTGTGTGTGTGTAGAGTGAAATGAGAGAAGGAGTGATCTGTTGTAGATAAGGTGAAGTGGCAGGCCTGACCTCACAGATCATGCGAGGCTTTGCAGATAAAGGCAAGGAATTTTGATTTTATGCTAAAGAAGTTACTGAAGGAACAGAGTGACACTATATGATTTAGGTTTATACAAAAAGATGATTCTGTTTCTGGGGAGAGAACAAATAAAGCCACCAATGTGGATACTCCTGCAGGTTAGCAGAGATGGTGGCTGACAGAGTTGGGATTGCTGTCCCCTCCAAATCTCAAATTGAACTGTGATCCTCCGCGTTGGAGGTGGGGCTCAGTGGGTGGTGACTGGGTCATGGGTGTGGGTTCCTCACAAATGGCTTGGTGCTGTTCTTGTGGTAATGAGTGAGCTCTAGCTCTATTAGTTCACACAAGAACATCGTGTTGTTTTCTGAGTTGAGGTCTCACTTGCTGGAGTGTGGCGTCACCATCACAGCTCACTGCAGCCTTGACCTCCTGGACTCACGTGAGCCTTAGCTACCCAAGTAGCCGGGAATACAGACTTGCACCACCAAATGCGGCAATTTTTTTTTATTTTTAGAGACAAGGTCTTGCTACGCTTCCTAGCCTGGTCTTGAACTCGTGGGCTCAAGCAATCCTCCAGCGTTGGCCTCCCAAAGCGCTGGGATTATAGGTGTGAGCCACTGTGCCTGGCCTACGAGAACTTATTGTTTAAAAGAGCCTGGCACCATCTCCTCCTCCTCTTGCTCCTGTTCTCACCATGTGACATGTCTGCTCCCTCCTTGCCTTCCACCATGATCATAAACTTCTCGAGGCCTCAACAAAAGCCCAGCAGATGCCAGTGCCATGATGATCTATAAGCCAAAATAAACCCCTTTCCTTTATAAAGGACCCAGCCTCAGGCATTTATACCATGCAATAATACAGTGGCTTAGAAGTTGGGGAGAGAGGATGAAGAAAAGTTGCCACATTCCAGACATATTTTGGAGGCAGGTCCTATAGGACTGGCTATTGGGTTGAATGTGAGAAATGCTAAAAGGGATGGTATCAAAGATGACTTCTAGGTTT